AATACAATGGTTCAGTTACGTTCAGTAGATGCACCAGACCACGGCTTTCTGAACGCCGCATCCATCAAGCTGATTGGGTTTAAATACTGCCAGCACTTGCTATGATACTGATACTGTAAGGTGGCCGTCAATCCCAGTTGACGGCCATCAAAACACTCGCAAAGCTGCTAACGACTGAGTGAACAGCGAACAGCCTCCCACCTTTGGTAATGATAAATATATATATATATTCTACGGAGGCATGCTTGCGAACATGGGCACAAATCAGCCTTTCTGGAACCGTTTCTTACTTTGCGCAGCATCGCGCTACATCATAGCACAGTCCTGGTCTGTCCAACTGTGTTACAAACGCATTCGGGCAGTGCTCAGACGCACATGCCTTTGGCTTACAAATTCGGGGTCAGCAGGAGTAGCCAGCTGCGATTCAAACACTTTTTCCGGCACTTTCCGGCTGCACTTTGGTACTTGAACATGCCAGGGTTTGAGGGGAGGGGCCGATGGGGTCGCACGCAAATATGAAAACAACCAACCGAGGTACCACCTCCGCCCGATAGTGCCCTTTCGCAAAGCAGCAACGCCCTGGCGACAAGCTACGTCTATTTATAACCCGCTCCGTTCACATAGAATACGCGTTTTTCCAATTATGCAGTTGAACTCGAACGCAACTCTACTTAGAATATGCCCCCATTTCGTGCTCATGTGTTTTCTCCCCGTTTGAATTATCAACATATCACCCATACTGCAGCATAAATGGACATAAATGGACATTTTTCAATTTTTCACCCCACTAATTTTCGTTTGAATTATCAAAATATCACCCATATTGCATCATAAATGGACATAAATGGACATTTTCAAATTGTCATCTCACTAAAAACCTTTGAATTATCAACATATCACCCATACTGCAGCATAAATAGACATATATGGACATGTTTCAAATTTTCACCCCACCAAAATCCTTTGAATTATCAAAATATCATCCGTACTGCAGCATACAAGAACATGTTTCAAGTTTTCACCCCACTATTTTGTTTTGAATTATCAAAATATCACCCATACTGCAACATAAATGGACATAAATGAACATGTTTCAATTTTTTCACCCCACTAAAATCCACCAAAACACCATAAAAAACATTTTTGAAATTGTTCAAGCTCACCTAAAGGTACCCACCTTGACCGGTGTCGAGGAACTATGAAAGAAAAAAATATTTTGCAATGAAAACTAATGGAATTAGGTGGTATTCCTGAAAAAATGGATGATTTTTTTCACTGGGGACCTATTTTCTATGTAAGTAGTTCTGCAAGGAATTTGATCTTTTCCATGTATAAGGTCGTATAATTATCATATACATAATTCCCTTTGGGGAGCAGCAATCCTGGATGTCTGAAGTCCGTAAACTAGAACGTTTCAGCAAACAAAAAAAAGGTCCCCCGAAATCATCAATTTCTTTTCATATTGTATTAGAAAAATGAGTTTTTCAAGCTCACCGAAGGGTACCTACCCTCTACGACCGGTGTCCGAGAACTATGAGAAAAGAACTATTTTGCAATGAAAACTGATGGAATTAGGTAGCATTCCTTGAAAAATTGATGAATATTTTCACTGGGGACCTATATTCTATGTATGTAGTTCTGCAAGGAATAGGGTCCCCTTCATGTATAATTATTAAATACGCAATTCCCTTTGGGGAGTAGCAACCCTGGATGTCTGAAGTCCGTAAACTAGAACGTTTCAACAAAAAAACAGCTCCCCCGAAATGATCAATTTCTTTTTATATTGTATTAAAAAAATGATTTTTTCAAGCTCACCGAAGGGTACCCCCCACGACCGGTGTCGGAGAACTATGAAAAAACTATTTTGCAATGAAAGCCAATGGGATTAGGTGGCATTCCTCTCAAAAATGATGAATGTTTTCACTCGGGACCTATTTTCTATGTATGTAGTTCTGCAAGGAATAGGGTCCCCTTCATGTATAATTATTAAATACGTAATTCCCTTTGGGGAGTAGCAACCCTGGATGTCTGAAGTCCGTGAACTAGAACGTTTCAACAAACGAAAAACAGCTCCCCCGAAATGATCAATTTCTTTTTATATTGTATTTAAAAAATGAATTTTTCAAGCTCTCCGAAGGGTACCCCCCACGACCGGCGTCGTAGAACTATGAAAAAACTATTTTGCAATGAAAACCAATGGAATTAGGTTGCGTTCCTTAAAAAATGGATCAATATTTTCACTGGGTACCTATATTCTATGTATGTAGTTCTGCAAGGAATAGGGTCCCCTTCATGTATGATTAGTATATACATAATTCCCTTTGGGGAGCAGCAATCCTGGATGTCTGAAGTCCGTAAACTAGGACGTTTCAACCAAAAAAACAGGTCCCCCGAAATGATCAATTTCTTGTTATATTGAATTTAAAAAATGAATTTTTCAAGCTCACCAAGGGGTACCCCACACGACCGGCGTCGTAGAACTATGAAAAAAAACTAGTTTGCAATGAAAACTAATGGAATTAGTTGGTGTTCCTAAAAAGATTGTTAACTATTTTCGCTGGGGACCTATATTCTATGTATGTAGTTCTGCAAGGAATTGGGTCTCTTCCATGTAAAAGTATAAGGGCATATATCAATATATCTCATATACGTAATTCCCTTTGGGCAGTAGCACCCCTGGATGTCTCAAGTCCGTAAACTAGAACGTTTCAACAAACCAAAAAAAAGGTCCCCCGAAATGATCAATTTCTTTTCATATTGTATTAAAAAAATGAGTTTTTAGGCTCACCGAAGGGAAGAATTCATATGGAAAAAATGGAAAAGTGAAGAATTCGTATAGAAATGCGAAGGATTTCTTAATATATATATATATATGGAAAAATGATCAATTTGACTGAACAAGTGAAAGAATTTGTATGGCAAAAATATGGAAAAGTGAAGAGTTTGTATGGAAACGTGAAGGATTTATAAAGAAAAGTGAAGAATTTCTATGGAAAAATGGTGAATTTGTCAGTTGAAAAGTGAAAGAATTTATATGGCCCAACGATATTCTATGTGATGTCAACTGTATTCTAAGTAAATGTTTTCAAGTCCTGGGAAGCCAAAATTTCAATTCAATATTCAAAGTGGGTGGAGCGGGTTATACTGCTCTCCAGAAAAGCCGGACTGCAGGCTGGCACAGCTGCTAGCACCGGAAGTACCCTTCATCCTGCGTCGTGCATGGCAGAGAGGGGTACCAAGAGAACCAAATCGAACCTCAGCCAATACCAAACGTCTTAGTTTCAAATTTGAATCCCACTTCGTCTGTCAAACACAACGCACTTTGATGCGCTTTGCACATGAGAATCTCGGGAGCAAATTACCTCAAGGAGCGGCATTTCGGTCTCAATTGGGGAAGTCACCGTTCCATACCCGGCCATACCCGGCCATACCCGGCCATAACCTCCGCGCCTCAGCGGCCGACGTGCGCCCTTCAAATTTGAATTTCCAAGTTGCCCCTGGGCTCCGGATCGAGGATTCGGTCTCCGATGAAGTTTGCTGAAGTTTCAACAATGATTTGGAGAAAAATGTGAGCAGGAAGCTGCGATCGATCCCAGAAAACTGTGACAGGAAGAGCCCAGTCCATCCCACAGCTGACACTAACAGGACGAATCCAACGAATCCCAGTCCTGGCAAAAATTCCTCAAAGATGTGGCAAAGAGCTGCATCAGTTCGGCACCTTGCGCGACGAAGTCGACGAAGTCGCAGGCCACGATACATCGACCACAATTAATAGCTCACACAATGCTAACCAAGAAAAACACCTTTCAATACATTACAATGCCAATGCGCTGCAATACAGTACAATCTACTACAGTACATTGCAATACAGTTCAACGCAATGCACATTAAATTACAATATGATTGCACCTCATAAGGTTGCACTACACTGCACTAGCTACATGTAAGCATTCGTTGCATGCATGCAATCCATACAACCCCTAGAATCAATTTATCTCTATACCGTACCCATTTCCATACAGCCATACAAACTCACAAATGGAGCACGTCCTTTAGACGGCCGCCGTTTTAACTTTTTTTTGGTCGTGAGTCGGGGAGTTTGGGGGAAAGGGGGGGTTGGGGGGTGGGAGTGTTTTTGTTTTGGACTTCACCCTATCAGGGCATAGCATGAGTACTGAGCACAATTTTTATGGCTATTGGCCGACAGAGGAAAACTAGTGCTGGCAGCCTGCAAAGACGCTCTAGCTGATCCTACCAGGACGCTATTGCCCCTCTTCAAGTGGTAGAGGGGCTGTGATCCTTCATTGAAGGTGAGCTCCAGGTAGAGCCCAATATGGCAAGCCATGGCTATGATGATGATGATGATGATGATGATGATGATGATGATGATGATGATTTCGACATTGTCGATGCAGATGGATGGAATCAATATGACTCTTACGCAATGAGAAGGGCACCCCAACAACCCTCAATTCACATGACTCAGCAGATGACCACGAAGGTAGCCCCTGCTTAAGATGGAAGGACCCGTTTCTCTTCTTTCGAAGATGCAAATGATGATTGGTATGACATTAAAGAGTTGGAACCGGAAAAACGTGGACCTGCATTGAGGAACAGATTAGAAGGTGAAGTATCTCAGTACAAAAGACTACTGAACAAAGAGTTGTTGAGAGACCCAAACGACGGTGTGAACTATTTCAAAAGATTCTTGCGACCGCATTTCATCAAGGGATCCCAAACAGCGTTCTTGCATCGATTCATGCGGTTCATGAAACACAACAGAGACACGCTGGACTTGCAAAAGTTGATGACTAGATTTCAACTTACTGGAAATAGACTTATTGAGTCTTGGATGGATGTCTTACCAGATTTGGAAACCACCAGTCCAGAAGCCATTGCACAAGCTGAACTTCCAGGCATTGCAGCAACTACTCCAGGACAAGAACCACATGTCAATGTACCTTGGACAGATGAACTGGCATTGGCAGCATTCACGCAACTCAACGCAGACAGAAGAACACAACAGAGATTGGCATTTCCCTTGGGTGACAACTTGTCAGCAGTGATTCTTGTAAGTCTGGCAGATTTGGCGCCCTGTTGATAAAGACGAACTCCCCTCTCCGCATATCGAAGGCATTGATCAGGGCAATGTTGGTCACCCACTCTGGTGACAAAATTGCCTCGTCGGTGGCAAAGAGCTTGGTGCCGAATTGCATCAGCAGCTCTGCGTCAAACGCCAAGGCGATGGGCCTCCCGGCTCGCATTCCCTGCAACTTCTTCATTTCTGCTTTCCAGGGCGGCGTACTGTTGAAGAAATTGTGCGCCCGCCCCGTCTTGTGAGGGAACCCGCCGGGGATCAATCCATCGCTGATGATTGACAGGAATGCTGCTTGATCGCACGTATGATAAATGACTCTCGGGAAGTCATCCCATACGGGCGAGCCTTCCGGCATCGCACAGAAATTGTGGTGGACGGTCGGGTCATCGACCTTGCTGATGTCAAAGTCCGCGTCGAACGTGTACATCTTGCGGATCATCGACGCCATTCCACCCTCATGGACGAGGAAATTTCTGTTCCCTTGGATGGCTCGGATGCGCACAGGAATCCAGCGAAGTGTGCCGTATGACATCCCACTGACCTGCACCCTGAATCGCCGCATTGGTGAGTTCTTGGCCACCATGAGGACTTCCTTCCTGCTCCCGGAGGTGTGGGAAATCACCCTGAAGGTGACGTACCAAGGCTTTGAAATCCATGGAGAGGTCAGACCTTCTGATTTCCGGGGACGGCCGGCGATGAAAGAGACGATGTCCACGAAGGTAATCCGACATGGAGTGTGAGATCGCGCTCAATCGGCCATCATAGTCCACGATCCGGTTGGGCACCCCAATCATGTTGTCTGGCCCGAACCAAGTCCTGAGCCAACGTGAAAATCGATGTGTCGAACTCTTGTCTACTGAATCATTTCCATGGCCTTCATCCACCACCTTCAACTTGGGCATCGCCTTCTTCTCGGGCTTGGCCTTGGACTTGGACTTCAGCATGGGAGGCGTGGCTCCCGCCGACGCAGACGCAGAACTTGACTTGCCAGCCTTGCCAGAAGATGTGCCAGAGCTCTTGGCCTTGTTGGGGTCCCCTTCAACAACGTCCATGGGCTCCGGGTCCCCTCGTGCAGTGGTGCTTCCGCCTCCGACAAGCTCGAAGGAGACGCCACTGACAACGGCGAGGTCATCATCATCTTCCTCAATGGCTTCCACCTGGCCCTCCCCGACATCATGGAACTCTTCCTCTTCAACGATCTCTTCGGACACCACGGTTTCGAGGTCATCGATCAGGGATCGAGATCCCAGCCTTCGAAATCGGCCTCTTCCTCCTCAGCTGCCGAGGCGTAATTGGGGTTTTGTCATTTTTGGTCAGGATCCTCTGAGAAGTTGCGTCTGCGCGCCTCAAGTCTGTCGTCGAGAGTGATTGCTTCGATTTTGACGAGTTCGTCATCAGAGTCGGCGTGGTCCTGATTCATGGGTTCCAACGCCTGGTCCTCCTCGGCGATCTCTTTGATCAAAGGCTCAACCTCCCGGTTGGCGGTAGCAGTTGCAACTTCTTCGGCCTGAAGTACCCGTTGGAGGATCTGGACATCCGTCTCGATCATGAACTTCTCGAGATCGGGCATGCGATGAATGTCCTTTGGTGAAGAAACGTTGGACTCCATCTCTTGTTTGAAGCCAATGTCAGAGCCTGTAGGTTTGGGTAGCCCTTGAGCCTCCAGCCCTTCGATTCTTGGGTAACTTCTGAGATGGTCGTCGGCACCTAACAGTTTGAGGTATGCCAAATGGCAATCCATCACAGCTGTAAGGAAGGGCGTCACCAACTTGCGATTGATCGTTTCGTCTTCCATGTGAAGCTTGTCATAGCGGACGGTGCGACTCAGCATCACGGTTGTGAGTGGTTCTCTCTCAGCGCACGGATGTGGACCTTCATAGTGTCGTTGTAGGCCTTGGGCAACGCGAAGAGGTCGCCATCGGCATTCCCCACGATCAACACGTCCAGCACCCGGTTCTCGCCCCTCTTGAAAGCTCGAAGGTCATTGCAGGACTGCTCGACCTTGGCCTTCTGCCGCTTGCAGTTGGCCGTGACCTCCCGGTCGGCTTCGGAGCGATTATAATTATATTCAGAGCGGTGAATCCACCTGACACCCCGGTATCCCCCCTCCATATAGATGTCATTCCCCGCCCATCCAATGATCACCAGGATGGGGGCGACGGGTCGTCCCAGAGAACGGTGGCCCGCTTCGATGTCATCGATCGCTTCGGGGAGGTACCGGACGATCTGGCTGAGCCCCTTGCCCCAGAGAACCTTCGCGTAGATGGAACGAACTTCTCCCCAAGGCTTCAACAGGTCACCGGCAGAAAAACATGAGGTCTTCCCCGCATTGGGGTCCGGCACCAAGGCCAGAGACGAATCTGATACAATCAAAACGTCAACCTCACCTCCCGGCAATTTGCCAGGTATCCGTCAGGGGTGTTGTGGAAGACTTCGGCCAAGGTGTCATACGATCCTTCAGAGTTGCCGCCACCCAAAGGTTTTTTTACGTGGCCACGGCGATGGGTTGCCGCAGCGTGGAAATGATGTTCTCCCACTGGCATACCCTCTCGTAGATGGCAGGCCTCCCGGCAACCGCGCAATCCTTGGCCATACGAACATGACGAAGAAAGCACAGCGAAAAGTCGGGATGATAGCACAGCACACGAGCTTGAGCGAAGGTTGCTGTTGGGTAAGGGCTTTGTGAACGGCATCTGTCATTCGGAAAGTGTATTCTTCAGTCTTCTTCAATGCCAACCAAACCTCTGCCCTGTGCATGCTGTTGGTCACATACGCACTGAAATTTGGATAATGCTTTTCCGATTCCAGAAAGATTGGTAGCCACAGTCCAAGTTTTCTTGAGCGGTATTCCCTTTTGATCCTTCATTCCCAGTGCACAACCACCGAAGTGGTATAAGGTACCATCTCATACGGAATGAATAATTTGGAGGCCTTTGTTAATTTCCAGTACCGACATTTTCTTGGCCATTCCAGCGCGATGGGGGCATCACAGTTCAGCATCCTGAGAAATGACTTCAATGAAATCCAAAAACGATCAAACACTCTGACATGCTTCAAAATCTTCTCCCGAGCACTGGCGATTTTCATGTTGACATATGTCCCTGGTGTTCCCCCCGTGCAAGGAAGACTGATCCAAATCAAAGGCTTGACATCACTCTCAAATGAGTTCGCGTACTCTGCAATATTCGTTTTGGTTGTCAATCTCATTCAGATCAAATTCCTTTGTGAAGTGCAATACCTCACACCCTTCCGACCATTTGCGGTTTGTTTGACTCAGTGTGGATTCAGGATGGCAATAGACTTCAACGATCAATCTCTTGGCGTCGGACTTGGCAGCGGGCCCCCCCGTGCTCGGCAGTGCGGGGATTGGAGGCGTTGGTACCTCCGCCACGTTTGCCAAAGCTTTCTGGGGTGTTTTGGTCTTGGTCGGAGTGATGGCAAGTAGGCGGACGGCTAGCTTCCACTTTTCCGCACTAACAAACGGCTTGGTAAGAATAGCAGCTGCTTGTAACATGCTGGGTCCGTGCACTAGCTTATACCATCTTCTTTTGAATCCTCCAGAATTCTTATGGTTGCCTGATTGTCCTCAACAAACACACCCTTGATAGACGGTGGGGAGAACATAGAGATCATGCACTCTCCTTGCTTCTCCCGTCCGACGAACTCATATAGTCCGCCACGGCTTCACGGATCTCAACGGCTTCCATGTTGTAGTCGGACTCGTACGGGCCATAGACTCTGAAGAAGGTTTTGGCCGTCCACTCCCCATTATCGGGTAGTCGTTCTTGACCTTCCAGTTGTCCTGTTTGAAGTCGACGATCCCATCCTTCAGCATTACGGATGCTCTGGAATATCCAATGCGTTTGATGTTAATGGGTGACTTGGACATGTCAATGGGGGTGAATAGACGACTCCTTGGCTTGGTGTGGACTCTTACCAACAATCTCTCAAAAACTGCCAGCATTCACCATTTGATTCTTTGGATGTTTCAATGTCATGTCTTGGCAATCCTCCCGGAATGCTGTCCTTTTTCTCCCCCCCGCGTTCTGGAGGTATGCCCAAAGACTGGAGGAAGGAAGGCTTGATTTTCGGTACTTGACATTGCAGCGGGAAGTAGGTGTTTGGTCCAATTAACACTAACAAACAACCACTGGTGGATCGATGATCGATTGTCGTATTCCCCTGCATGGTCGGCATCAGCAAATAGCCATAATTTACGGTCACTGACTTTATCCCCGATGAAAGCCCTTTGCTTATGATCCAGGGTGGAATTGATGTAGCACATGAGCCTACGCAGTGCCTTGTCGCAGTCTGAGCTCCATTTCGTCACTCTGGCGGCTAGACCTTGCACGGCTCGCAGCAAATCAAACCTGGCCATCCTCGCTGCAAACAGCACTTTCATCAACACTCTTGCGGCGATTGGAGCCAGTACTAGTTTCCTTTTCATCGGCAACAGGCCGGGCAATTCTCTCCTCATGGAATGGAATGGAAACATGTTTGAGGGGCTTGGCATCCCTGCCAGCTAAATTGACGTACCTGTCCACGCATGACTTGAGGAAAGGCTCCATGTCGTAGGTGAACGTCGTGACTGGCTTTGGCATTCAGGGTTGGTTCTCAAATAGTTGGTCAATGTATGAGAACTCTTCCGCTCTAGCTTTCTTTTTGGCTCCTGCTTTATCCCTCTTGATGGTAGCCATGGCAGCCTTTGGATCTCTGCATGATGTAGGGAAAAGATATGTAGTGCCTACCCATGGTTCCTTCATGCTAATCCCGTCTCTTACCATTGATCCAATTCCAATGGTATCCCATTGTTCAATTTCGTTCGATTCATCCTTACATGGGATTGCATTTGTGAACCTGAATGGCGACAACTGACATGATCTTACCATATCTTCATCAGGTACAAACATCTTCTTTCGAGGCTGAACATGGTGTCTCATGTAGACGTTGTTGACGTTGTCGAGCTCTCAGAAGTCTTGAGTCCTGTGGCATGCGGCGGTGGCAGGCGCGGCCGGGTCTGCCAAAGACCTGTCGAAGACATGAGCATAAGGATGATCCTTGACCGTGAGTCTGACGTTCTGCATGACTCGATGGTCGCAACCAAGATATCTATTGACTTCCCCGGGTGTGTCCATATCAATCTTGGATGCAATCAAACTCCATCCCTTCGACATATTTTCCTTTGGTCCCCGGCATTTTGAAGCCGTCAACATAAACTACCAAAAGCAGCCTTAACTCCGGATGGAAAAAGACAGATTGCCACCCTTCCAGGTCTGGCATAACGAAGCCAACCAGCAGCAGTTTTGCCTCGCAATGTTGCTCCCATAACCCCCCCGAGTCGGGGTGGCCATACAGGGCAATCCTAAGCAGCACTACCGGCCTGATCAATTTGCCTCGCCATCGGCCAGGAAGTATCGACCCATGTTTCCACCACCTGCATGAGAGCCTGGGTGTAGGCCTGCACCCCGGCCCCGTATGCATCAACAGCCTTGCCGGCTTCCATTGTCGCTGGCGAAGATCCGAGCGTCTGAGAATAAGCAAAATCTGAGTTTTCATCTTTGACATTATTCCCTTGGAATACGGTTCTTCCCTTTTCAACGCAGATCTCGAACACCCCGCATGAACCTTTTTCCCAGTTTTCTTGGCCCTGTCGGAGATAACCTTCCATTCAGATACAGTTTCATATCTCCAAGCATTCTTCTTTACCAATTGTCCCATTCCACATCAAGTGCTTGTTGAGCCTTGGGGTTGGCTCCAATTTCCTTTTACCCCACTGGCCTAGCAACAAGTGTATTGATGGCTTTCTCCCCAGGTTGGATTCCAAGCCTTATGCACTTACTCCGATGCTTCTGCGGGTTCATTTGGCAAACTGGCATTTCTGGGATAAACTCATAGTTCATGCTCTCTTCAACATCATTTGGGGTGCCTTTCACGATTCCAATCATGGGCAGTGATTTAATTCTCCTGGCTCTCTTCTCTTCTTTCTCATCCAGAGCTAACTTTCTTTGTTCCTCTGCTATGGCGTTTCGTCTCTCCTTCTGAGACATGGCTTTCCATACAAATGGAGGGATGTCTTTTGGTTTGCTTGAATTCTTGTACTTTCGGGCTTTGAAACCGCTAGCCGCTAGCGTCATAGTATGAGGGATCATCAGTCTTGATTCTTTCCACGTTCCCAGTCATCGGGTTGATCACCTCAACGTCTCCTGCCGAGACCTCATCGTCGGGCGACTCGTCCACCTTGTTCCTCAAAACGGTAGGCTCCTTGGAGAAGATGGTTCCAATGACTTCATGTATGTCAATCTCCTTTTGCAAATCTTCTACTGGAGGATCGATCTTTCAGTTTTCTTCGTGGACATGCCATGAACCACCGTCTTTAATTGACGCATGTGGTCCAGAATGAGTATTCACTTGCACTAAAGTCTGAGGCATTCGGCGTATTCGTACCAGGCTTCTTTATGTGATCTACGTGTCTGAAGAATGCTAACCAACCCTGATGATAGACGGCGGATGCACTTGATGGTTGAACAGGCTGTCCCGTTTCGATGTCCTTGATTGTGCGTCTGACTGGGCCCGGCTCCGCACAGGACCTTGCTCTTCCAATGGCGGGAGGTCTTCATCCTCTTCATCATGAAGTTGGTCAGGCCTGATTCGACCTTCTCGGATGGCATCGGCTCTGTTTTGGCAGGGAAACTCGATGCGATCTGGGACGGCAATTTTCAAAACCCTCAGTAATGTGACGAACTGATCAAAACTTGCATCATTGATTTGCTTCAGTGAAGCTACTGCAAATTCTTTTCTCCAATGGAAGCCTGGGTGGATGACATATCCTAGGAATATACCCGGTTTTGATGTTGGATCAAACTTCATTTGTTTCTTGGGTCTTTTCCTAGGTCCTGTCCAGTAAGTAGTCCACCTTACACCCAAATGGAATGAGAGGTCCCTCAAAGTCATTTCGGAATCTGCGCTTGTGTCTCTTCCAGTCCCGTCCCGTGCAGCATCCTGCATGACGCACCAGTGTCTTGCAGCATATGGCCAGTACCCGTGATGCAACCCAGCTTGCAGTAGATTCGCTCTTGTACCTTCCAAGGTAGAGCGAACCGCGCGCTCAGCGATGGCGGTTGGAGGTTGATATGTAATCCCTACTGATTTGATGCCTTATCTTTCATAGTCTTCATAGCTGATACACATTCTGGGGCATTATCGCTCTAGAAGATTCCAACCTTTTCCAAGTCATCGACGTAGTGCTTCATTGCAAGTACAGTATTGGATGCATCTCGGCGTCCAGCCGGGTACACATAACGAAAATCCGTTAGAACATCCTTGATAACCATCGCCACTCTGTCATCATCGATTCCAGCTTCGGGCTCCGATTTGGCTATCAAGTAGTCCCCAGCTATGTGATCCCCGAACTTCTTGGCAGCCTTTCTGGGCAGCCTTTCCCCTCCCTTCTGTCCATTTCTGGGTTGTGAGGGTGAACACTCAATGAACACTATCAGGCTGAACCTCCCGGTCAGCAGGCATCAGCCCTTCGACGTCTGATGGTGCGTCTGCTCCAGGATCACCTGATATGTCGGGCACAAGGTCGTCATCTGGCTTCATCATCGGGTGAGAAGGGCTCATCCTCATCATCATCATCATCATCATCATCACCATGTATGCTTTCAGGACTAGATGAGCTGGCCATGACTTTTACTCTTGGCCTTGGGGTCTCACGTTGACTTGAACTGGCAACTGCTGACAGGTTTCGTTGATTGGACTTGGAACACAGAAATTGGACGTAGTCACGAACCTCGAGTTCAATAACTTTTCCATTTGGTGCCATAAGGTATGGCTTCTCATTCTTGAAATCCGTCCTCCACGCACCTGAGACCAACTGATAAAACAGGAGGCGAACTTTGCACCAGGAACGGGGAGACAGTGGCATTCAGTTCTGGGACCTTAACCTTGCCTTGTTTCAGCGACGAACTTTCTCCATTGGCAGTGATGAGACTTGAGGAGTACCCGTAGTGGTCAGGGACATGGTGGTCAGTCAGCAGGTCCTGAGCAGTACCAGTGTCAACGATCCAATCTATAGATGCTTCGAAGCATCCGTTGACATACTCTTCAGCTTTGGCCGGCATTGCAACAATCCCTTTAGGAATACAATGATCACACCCAAACACGGTGTCACATTCATAGTTGCATCGGCAGTCTCTGTTCTTCAAAGAAATCCCGACTCCTCTCATCAAAATCAAACGGATAGCCAATTGGATAAGTCCGTCGAAACTTTCTTGATGCTGGATTCACAGGCACAAGTTCCCCCTCGGCAATGACTTGGAACACTTCATGATTAGTGTTAAATGTCACTGCGGGGCAACAGATCACGTCGACAGGTGGCAACATGCATGCGTTAGAAACGGATGCTAGCATTGGTGCGATGAGGCACACTGCAGCTGGGGATGCCTTGGGCGTCTCAGTTTTGCCTTTGTTCCCCTTTGGGGAGCGGCTATTCCTGGGACTCCGTGATCCATTCTGTCTTGGAGAACGATCCTTGCCTCGGCTGGGACTCCTGCTGTTCTTCCGCCGAGATCCTTTCGAGTCATTTGAGGATGGCCTGGCAGGAGTGGCAGCACGGGGCGGCTTGGATTATTTCCCCTCATGACTAAAACGGCATTCGCTTCCTCGATTGCATCTGCCTTGTTTCCAAAACTTGTTTTCTTCTTCTTTTGGTCGTTTCTGTCCCTAGACGGTGATCTGCCTCTTTCTGATGATGGCCTAGACTGACTTCGGTCCTTTTTGGGAGGAGGTTTCCCATGCTTGAATGTGCAGGAGTCATTTGTACAAGTCCCTGTGTTCCACTTGACACAGTACCCCTTTGGAATGTACCCCGTCTTCTCGCCAACCGCAGGCGCAGCGCTCGATGAGGAGGCACCGAGGGTTCTGGCAACTCGTTCCCTGTTGGATTCGAGGCGTTCCTTATCCACGTAGCGGCGTGCCGCTGTCAGGAGGAATTCATAGGTTTTCTTCTCCGAGCCTTCTTCGGCACGGTGATCCTCCTGCAAATCGTGTGCAAAGCAATCAGTGAAAGAACAGGGTTTCCAGAACACTGGCTTCAGGCACCTTGGGAATACCAGCCATGACTTGGTCCCAATTACTGATGAACCCACGAAGGTTATCACCTTTGAGCTTGACGCTAAGAGATCTTAAAGGGCATATGTAGCACCGTGTTTGATGTTGGTACGGAAATACTCATGCATCATCAGCAGTACTTGGCGGCCCCTTACATATCTCTTATTGGTAGCTTCAGTCTCTTTGTAGGTGCCTACCTTTCGAGCGAAAACCCGTCAGGATGTTGGTGAGCGCTGACAACAGCTTGGCATCCAATGTAGTGAACTTCCCTACATCTCTGAGCTGTTCCATAGTTTGTCCCTCTTTCCAAGTTTCACTGATCCAATCAAATGCCTTGTCGGGGTCAGTTGAAGCAGACATGACAGCCTCCCTCGTACGAATCCTCCAGTTTCGGTATGACGCTGCATGTGGAAAAGCTGGTACTTTGATCGCGTCTGCCTCTTTGACCTCGTTTTTGTCACCTGACGGATCCTTGGGAGTCCCAAAAAAAGCTCTCATTCGTCGGACAAACTTGCGGTCACTGTCATCGGATTCACCGTCACCATCATCTCCATCGTCATCATCCCCATCCCCAGGCCCACCTCCCGGTGGTCGTCGGCACCCTTGAGTGGGCTTCTTACCACCTTTGTCCTTCCGTCCTCGATCGGGCTTGTCACTGCCTTTTGACGCATGGTCGTCAGGATGGTCATCGCCTGGCGGGTCACCCCCTCCCCCTTTCACCGATTCACTGACACTTGTTGGGGGAAGCGTTGGGGAGTGTAATCCCGTCACATCTGAGTTTGGGTTCACTGCATCAAAGGAAGGCAACCCTCCATCCTGACCTACCATCTCCCAAAGTTCAGTGGAATTCGGAACTACGGGCTTGGAGGCACTGGCTGATGCAAAGGAACTCAACGGTGCTGTCAATTTCACCTCAGCGGCAACGCGGCAGTGGCAGTCTATATAAGGTATTCAGGAGCTTTCCCATGCGCATATTCATGGACTCAGTTTGCAGTTGCTGAGCCTTTATCTGCTCACTCTGCTGTTGGATGATGGATTCCAGTTGTGACAGTTGATGACAGTTGCATCCTACGGCTTTCATCCTGTCTCTCGTAATGGTCCTTCAGTGCTTGGATTTGCTGGTCCTTGGTTGCATTGGATTGTCTGGCATTTCCGTCTAAAACCCTTTTGTACGCTTCCCCTTGCTGTACAAGTTCTTCTCTGTATTGGCCTTCACGACTCTCTGCCAGCATCATCATTTGATGCATCCGGGCGCTGACAGCTTCTTCCTCGGCATTGAACCGGCGGCTCATCTCAGATACCATCGTCTGAACCACTTGTTCCGTGTTTGCAAGTGCCTCACGGCGACGTGCTTCAGCAACCTGCTCTACCAACAAAGTGATAGCAGGGTCATGAGTAATTATTCACATGCATCTGATTATTCTGAACTTGGTTGAGGTTCAACGTGTTGTGCATCTCAGTCCACTCATGATGATGGACCTCAGTTTGGTTCACGTGCATATATTTGAGCCCGCTGGCATGCCCTCCCGGGATGCGTGAAAGTCGTACCCGCGGTGAGAAAACCGTGTTGTGTCATTGTGGGGTATAGTGCAGCGCCACGTGGCATCAGGGCATTGACTTCACGCTTGTCACTTCGAGAGCGTTCGGAGGGAGACTGAAGGTCGGTTTCAATTGGGATGTCACTTGCAGCTTTGTCCGCGTCCGCATCTTCAATGGCCATGGCTTCAGGTGGTCCGGACGTGCGATTGCCCTCAGGTGATAGTTTCCCTGAGGGGGCAGACATTAGTAACAAAAGGGAAATATAGTGGCGATACGGCTGATAACCTATTTCACAGAGTTATACAGCCAACACCAGCCACAATGCGCACACTTATTTTTCACTTGAGCCATAAGTCGTTAAGGATATACAATGGACACTTGGCACTACTTTACAGGGGAGTATGGGATATACTTAACCAATACCCCGTAAAACATTATCATTCCAAAAAACACAACTCCAACCACCTTTCAATCCATCAGTGGATTCACTCTGCCATCCGTGCTTCACAAAAACCAAGCTCTCCTATAGGTGTCCTATGTTTGAAACTTCCGCCGCCGCCTTGTGCGGTACTACTGGTACAAGTTATACATGTGTTTTAGAAATCATTCTTCTACCTTTGGCTACGAATATGATGAGAATTTCCCAGGCATCTTGGAAACAGACGACCTGAAGCGATTCCAACTCTTCTGTCCGCCCTGTCCGGGAACTCCCACGTAAACCGTATGCAATGAACTGAAGCTCCACGATCTTGGAGGCTTTCTTCGCTAGCTTCGTCAAAGCGATTTCTGCTTTACGCAGCATCAGCCAGAACTCTGGACAGTCCTGAGTTATCTCTCGCAGGGTGTTTTGTGCATTTAATGGTGGTTCAATTTTGATTTATATACTAGCTTTTATTGATATTCATTGGGGTATGATGGAGGTATAATGGGAGTATAACAACCTCACACTTCCAATGACCGAAACCAAGATCTTTTTGCTACAAGTCATGCTCCTAGTGATCACACGTCACACGTTGAGCCCGTCCCGTCCTCGAGGACTGAGCATGCTCTGTCTAGGTGAACCAGGGCCATCCTCAAAGAGTTCCTCAGCAGAGACTCGCTGCTGTCAACATCTCTCCGCGGGAGATTGTAAAGAACAAGACAAAAAATGCCGGGTGGGCACACATCCACTCTGAGCACATGCTGCAAACATCTGAAAACATGTATTGAAATAAAATTCATGGTCAGAACATCAGGGTATGACATGAAGCAAAAAATATCAAATGGGCCAAAAGTTTCAGAAGTATCAAAAGTTTCGCACTCTTGAAAGGTGGATGGCTCAAGAATCACAAGTAGTAATGTCCATCAGGGTCTATTTACTGATAGTTTGTTGATATTTCTTGGGTCCATCTTGGCCAACTTGGTCCGAGAATCTCCAGGAGCTGCTGAGTCCGGCCTGGGGGTGCAAGCTCTGGCAGGTCGTCACTGTAGTTGCCATCAGCATCTGAGAAAACAAACGGCCAGGCACGGTTGCCATCCCAGTCCAGTTCAGTCAAGTCAGCCAAGTCCCTTGGGCTAAGAAGTAGGCAGCAGAGGGGAGAAGCAATCGGACAGGGACAGGTAAGGAGAGAAGAGAGAGGGAGGCCTGCAGTCAGCAGAGAGAAAAGTATGGCAAGCACAGACAGAAACTGAGAAGACCAGTACTATCCAGTAGCCAAAATATGTTTTAAAGATAAGTCGGGAGACAAAGAAAGAGCAACAAGTCGAAACACACAA